GATTGTTTTTATTTCTGATTTAGTCCCCAGCAATTGCCACTTTTCACAACAACAGAAATGGTATTGGCACATATCAACATGCTAAGTGTGCAAGAATAAATTGTTCTCTTTTTAAAGCACTGATCTGGTTTAATTTACTTATGGCATGAGGTAGGGTAATTGCAAGCAGGATAGGCAGAAACAACCACTGTAAACAATCATATTTACCTGTAGTTTTCTCAACCCACTTTTCTGTGAGCACACAATACTTATAAATTGCTCACTCAGGCTAGGTTTTCATAATCTAAGATTGGATATGTTGTGACATAGTATGCTATCTAGGTATACACAGGATGCATCATAAAAAAAGTTGGCATATATACTTCTTTTTAGGAAGTATCCAGATGTGACAGAAGTATTGTCCAACTGAGTATTTTGCCCATTAGACCAATTCTTTTTATTTTAAAAATTTATCTGCCCACCCATATACATACAATAATGCTGAGTAGCTTATAGCAAAAACTTTTTAAAAAACATGATTTCAAACAAAGGAGGGAGGATTTAGCCCATGGAACTATGCAGCTGCCTTCAATTGAATTCTCATGGTTTTGCTTCAACCTTGGCAGCAATCTATTGCATCAAACCCAAATCTTCAATATCATGAATGCAAAACTGAGGCTGTCTGATTCACAGAACAGCAGAAAAGTTCTCTGTTGCAGCCACAGTTTATTTCTCTATCAACCATTTTTGTACAACAAAATACAAACTAAGAATGTAACTCCATGAGAAGTGTATCCCTCTTTGGAAGATGATGCTTCATACTACCTTAAAAAAAAAGCATTTGATTTAATGAAGCAGAATAGACAGTAGAGGATGACCTTCCCCTGCATTTTCAGTTGAAGCCCCCAGTGATAGTAGATTTGGCTACCTGGCAGTGGGCACACACATATTATGGCAAGGAAGGCAATGGCTACTTGTACTTTCTTTCTCTTGTTCATCATTGCAGGAAGCCCATAATATTGGCTTGTACCATCCTGCTGTCTCTCTGCAGAGCATCAAAGCACTGGTCTAAGAAGGAACAGCCATCTCTTCCTATTGCTCATCTGCTTTCTCGCTCCCCAGTAAACAAAAATTAGGTAATGGTTACTTCCCTCTTGAAATGCTCATTTGCCCTTTTTCCACTCAGACCCTCTCCTTTTCTATAGACAAGGCAGTGGAAACAATTGTGCCTACCAAAACATGTGTGATGTGGGGAAGAGGGAATAAAAGGTAGTTTTCTCAGTCACCTTCCCTGACATATAAGGTAGAGAGGGAAGGAACAAACGAAAGCAAAAATAAGCAAGCACAATATGGTTGCTCATTTGAATAGCAGTCATCATCTCTGCCTGACCACATGCCTTCTCTTGCTAGTTGGTGTGAAGAATTAGGCTAGCTATTGCACTACCCCAAAACAGGATGCTTAAGAGAAATAGGAAGAGCCACTTTTCCCAGTTGCCCCAAGACGCTGCAGGATTTAGCAAAGGGGAGGTAAAACTTCAGAAGATTCTCGCATTGGGAACCTCTCTCCCTTCTTTTCCAACCTGAGCAGCAGGGTTGGACAGAGGAATTGATTTAACTATGGATGTTATTTGTCCAGTATCAAAGTGGCACTGTTAAGTATGGTTTTTGAAATGTGGGTTTAAGCTTATATTCTTCATAAATAATTATAGCTACCTAAATTAACATAAAAAGACTACTGAGAACCAAGAGTGTCTTTTGGGGGATCTATTGAAATGAATAGAAACTACAAATTGGTGACAAAGAAAACAAGCAGAGGCTTCTGAGGAAGAATGGTATGGGTCATATGGATGCAAATCAGCTACATTGCTCTACTGTACAGTATTTTAAATACAGTATTAGTCTTCCTCCCTTCCATCCTTCTTTCCTTCCTTACCATTCACTCTCCAGTTCCAAAGGTTTCATGTGGCTTACAGTTAACAACATTAAAGTAGGACACTATCATAATCATAACAAGAATGCATTGATTAAAATAGCATTCAGGCAGAAAGATCTTCACGAGCTACATTTTAATGGCTCTTCAAAAAACAATAGGGAGGGGCTGGCCTGAAGTAGGCTGTTCTTGAGGCTGGGAGTTTCATCTTGTTAACAAGGAAAGAATGGAAGGTAATATCTGTGAGATATTGCTTTTGAAAAGATTCTTGCACATTAGGAGTTGTCTTAGGGAACAGAGTAAGAAAATTCTTGCATTTACTGTTTACATGCCCCCATTTAAAAGTGTACTTTTTTAACAGCTGGACTTTCAGTGTCCGCCCCCCCCCAACTGCTTTATCTTTACACATGTATGAGGTACATTTATAAAAAGCAACCTACCTTCTGATCAGGGTTACTTTTTTTGTGGGTAAAAGACTAAGTTCTTGGTCTTGATTGTTGATACCTACCAAGGTGGTGATGTTTTTTTTAACTTTATTTTTAAGATGCATTCCTACTGGCTATGGAGAGTCATCTTTTCAAAAGCAAGTATGTGGGTCATCCTTGACCCAGAGCCAAATATGGAAATTTATCAGACTCTTCTTTTTTTTCTTTTCTTTTAAATGATATAGTAAGGATTTGCAAGCTAATGCCAGTGGGCACCATATATTCAGGGATACTTCCCTTAGTCCCCACTAGACATTGCAGAGAGCTGTCTTAGTTTATGGTAGCCAAAAATTTGGAGGCACCTGATAATGCTTTTTAATAAAAAGTATTAGAAAAGACACTAAGCTTCTGTGAGTTTTAGCTGACTTCATCAGATTTATGCAGTGGTTGACTGATGTAGGATTATAGAAGGTTATCAGGCAAAAGGAGGTGGGAGAAAAGGGTGATTGTGCAAGTTACATGCGAGACAGATTACATTTAGTTAAGACCTAATATCCCAGGACACAGATTTCAAGGTGGGTATTTAAGAATAAAACCAGCCAGCATTATAGAGCAAGAGGCTGCTGACTCAGATCAAAAGGTTTCAGGCTACCTCAGGTCTTAACAAACACAATGGGTTTTTAACAGATTACACATGCTAATTGATGAGATACTTGTAATCTCTCTAGTGTGCAACCTGCATCTGTATCATCACCCTTTCTCTAACCCCATGCTCCTGGTTCATATCTTTTTTAAACAAGAGAACCAGTTTGGTGTAGTGGTTAAGGTAGTGGACTAGAAACTGGGAAACTGCGAATTCTAGTCCTCCCTTAGGCATGGAAGCCATCTGGGTGACTTTGGGCCAGTCGCTGTCTCTTAGCCCAACCTACCTCAAAGGGTTCTTGTGGGGAAAATAGGAGTTATACGCTGCTTTGAATTGTACAAAATAAAGGTGGGATATAAATCTAATTAGTGATGAACCCCAGATCAATTCAGCATACATTTGATGATGTGAGTTACAATTTACCAAAGCTTATGCTTTTTGTTAGTTGGAAAAGGTGCTACCAGACTCATTTTTAATCTGTTAGGCTCATTGTCCTAAAGTAGGAAGCTAATATGAAACAAACAAAAATGCCAGTCTCTAGCATCATCTATATTTAGGAAAGTGCTTCAGCCTCAAATAGGCCCCTATGCATTTTTACATGGTGCAGTTTAGAACTGTGTTTACATGCCCAGATAGAAAACAGAAGGCAGGGTAATAAAGCATCCTGGTAAGCTGAGGGTAAAAGAAAGGATCAAAATAATCAATTCAGCTTCTGATAAATGGGAGTTTTGTGCCTGACCAGACTAACAACAGCAAGCCGCCGCCGCAGACATCCATTCTGTGAGAGTACATATGAGCACCTGAAGGCCTGTATTCTTCAAAGAGCCTGAGAAACAGGACACTTCTTGCACATCCTAACTAGAATCCCAACAGGGCTTGGGGTTTGCATTTTCTTCAACAATTTTCCCAAATTAAAATGTTCGCCTATACCCTGCCACTGACTCCAGACTTCAGAAATCAAATGTGATCCATTCTTTATAGTCCTACAATAAGTTATAAGTACTTAATTCCAAATTAAGGAATTAATCAAAGGATTACAGAATATTGTAGGCAGCTTTTATATATAACAGTTCTAGTAAAGTATCAGATACAGCAAAATCAAGACATTTTTGTAATCAATGATTTATTTAATTGCATAGCATTTTGGTTGTATTATAGTTAAGTAGAAACATACTCACAAAATATGCAGTAGCCTTATAGGATTAAATAACACTATTCAAGAAAAAGAAGCATGTATAATGTATTTTATCTAAAGACACAGTTCAACAAAAAATAGAATCAAGTTTAAATGATGTTTGTTTTCATTAACAACAGTACAGAAATATAAAAAGACAGATAAATGCAATAGAATTTCAGTTAAAACTACAACTGCTCAAAGTAAAATAATCAGTATACAACTGACTGCATTCACATATTATGTTTAAACCAGATTCCTTCACACTCTTTAATCACTTCTGCTTGGCTCTTCCATAGCTTCCACTTGGCTTGTAAGCAGGCAGAATAAGTGAGAGTTCCTGGTTTAGAGTTATGTTAACCAAACCACAGAATGGGATTCTATGGTTGTTTGAACTGCTCCTGGTGGCAGGAAGGGTCAGGTGAGAGTGATTCCATCATTTATTCTGCCTTAGTGAGATGTGTAAATGTAACAAATTAATTAATACAAGCTTAATGAGCCTAGGATTAACTCTTAGGCATTACCCACTAGTAGAAGTAACCTATATGCTAAAATAACTTAAATGCTATACATTTGTGTATATATAAATACTTTGTATTTAAAAGTAAGGCAGCCATTCCATGTACACGTACCCAAGAGCAAATCCTACCAATTTCATAAGGACTCAGTTTGAGTACACTTGTATAGCATCAGGCTGCTTGTAGTGTTGATTTATTCACAGTAACTCAGAAAAAAAGCTATATACATATATTGCACAGTTGTAAAAAACACAATTCATTAAGCATATGTAAACAATAGTTTTCTTCCATTCTTTGGCAATTTGATTATTTCAGTAATGCTATAAGCATGAGCATTTAGTAAGGCATATGACAAATATTTAAAGGCACATTAAGCAAGTTTTTTTTTTTAAAAGTAAGGACAACTTCCCAGATATTTCCTAGTTAGCAGTATACTGGCTATTGGTTCACTATTCCCATGTTAAAAAACCTGAAGTAAAAAAAAAAAGTTATGCTTTGCAGTGAAGGGTCAGAATAATCAGAATACTAGTTTAAAACCTTAAAAAATACAATTTAGATGACTAATAAAACTATTTGCACATAATGCTAAAATTTAGTTTAACCACAATTTAAACAAACCAGAGTCAGTCTCACAGACAAAAAGTAACCCTGGCTTGTTCTGTGAATTCCTGATTTCCTCCTCTACCATTTCCTAAGCATCCTATCACGTAAGGGATGGGGCTGCCTGTAGCTTTATTAGTGGTGGATGTGTACATATATTTTTATGGGGGAGGTTGCACATATATTTCTGAATGTGTTTGCATGTTTATTGGTCTCTAATAATATGTGCATTTTGCTTGTGTTCTTGTGGACAATGGGGTTGTTGTATATGTTTTACATTTTCTGAGAAGAAGGATTGTATATGCTTTGCTTTTAGATTTGCAAAGTTTTTAAAAAATTGTATGTAAGGTGCAGTTTGGGATTTTTATGTAAGATTTGCTTTCCCTATTGATATTTTTCTGAACCTCATTAGTTTCCCTTCTGAGAAAGGGATGTTGCACTTTTAGGAAAATGAATTGCTTGATTAGGGTTTATGCGCAGAGAGTCCACTTTGGAAAGAAGAATGCTAACAGGAAAATTAAGGACTTGGGAAAGAAAAGAAAGAGCAGTTTATCCTAATGACTGGTACCTTTTTAAACTGCTCTTAAATTGCACTAAGTTCAAAAATAAACCAGAAGTCCAAGTATAGACATAACAAGTTGATTAAAATAAATCAGGATTTGAAAATCAATTTCAAATCATGGCTTCAAACTGCCAAGAAAAAAGCCATGATTTGTTACCTGTGGTGAGTTTATCCACTGAAACCAGCCAAAGCTAGGCTAAACAAAGCCCAACATAGCATTATGACATTATCAGGCTATATGTTATGGCATAATACTTATTCTACAGTCACAGATTTAGCCAAATTTCTTGGGAAATCCACCTGGAAAAAGAACAAAAATATTTTCATCATACCATGATAGAAATTATTCCATTTAAAAAGGAAAATAAAGGAAAATACAACATCCTAATGGCTGTATGCCTTCCCAAATTACGTAAATGTATCCCAAACCACCAACACCCTTATACAGCTGGCTTTGCTTGACTTCTGCTTGACCCCAACTTTTTTCTGTTTCATTTGTACCATGAACCCAGCCCTGCTTTCTTTTTCATCTTTTCATCTAGTTATCTCTTTACATGCTAACAAAATGACAGTCTAGATCTATTCAACCTGCATACTATGGTACAGTTGTATCTTATACCTGTCACTAAAATCACTGCTTGGCATTTATTTTTATATTTTAGATAATAGGAATTACACACCAACCAAAATGGTTAGTTCTATCTTTAGTAAAGTTTCTAGTTCAAGTTAAAAGATAAATAAATGCTAACCATTTCTCAATCATAATAGAACACAATTATGTATAACTATTTGTTTAAATCCTATCATTCATTCTTGTTGCCAATCTAAGGAAACCAGGAAGTATCCAAGTGTGCTTAGAGAAGTGCTTTAATTGGAATGACTAAATATGGAAGTAACTTACATCATATCCTCTGAGAACAGCCAGGTGGAATGAAAGCAGCTGTAGAGGGATCACGCTCAAAACTCCCTGTAGACAATCTACTGTCTGTGGCAACTCAATTGTTTTGTAAGCAAATTTGGAGCTCTCCGTATCTTCTCTAGAACATAAAATAATAGGGCGGCCCTAAGAAACAAATCAAATAGTATAGATTAATATTAATTGATTAATCAATTATTGATTATACATGTACTTGCTTATTTTGCAGACATTTTTCCAACAGATAGATAGAAAGAATATTAATACAACTACACTGTAAATACCACTGGATTTAAACTAAAAAAATGCAGATGGGTACTGATCATTTATGGCTTAAATCTAAAATGCAACATCTTACCACTCTAAATGCTTTAGCGTAATTACAGGTAAATGTTACAACTGCAGTTGTAACCCAATATAATATTACTACAGGTAGTCCTCGGATTACGATGGCAATTGGGACTGGGATAGCTGTCACTAAGCAATGCAATCATAAAGCACAATGTCACATGACTGCATCGCTTAGCGACAGCAATCTTGGTCCTGGTTGCTGTTGTAACCCCAAGATGTGCGGGGAATTAAGTGGGAAGCAGCAGGAGTCCCAGGTAAGGAGCACAGGGGTGCTGCAGTGGGGTGGGATGACCAGGGAGAGCTTGGGAGGCTGCACGGAAGTCAAGGGAGGCTGGGGAGGCCTTGGGAGACCCAGCGTAGGTCACGTGCAAGTTGAGGGTGTGTGTGTGTGTGTGTGTGTGTGGTGCAGGCAGAAGCAATTTACCAGAACGACTTTCCCTACTGGCTTCCCCATTGACTTTACTTGTGGGAAGCTGGCAGGGAAAGTCCCAACTGGGGATCCGTAATGCCGCTCCGTGTGATGTCGTAATCGTGAGCCGGGCACCCAAATGCCCAGATCGCAATCACGTGACCCCAGGGGTGCTGTGATGGGCACAACGGGGACTGGTCATACATCCATTTTTTCAGGGCTGCCATAACTTTGAACAGTTGCTGAACAAATGCCCATAAACCAAAGACTATATTACTATTATTGCTATTATACCCAATGTGAAACATTGTGCATTTTTTTTTAAAAAAAACTTACTTTTCTGTCTTCACCTTCCCCAAACCCTCAGCAATTTTCAGTGTTTAGAAAACTAAAAGCATGTACCTAACTAATTTGGCAAATTAAAACTGTATGTGTAACTGACAGTGTAAAATGTATTATCTGAGATCCAGTGCAGTGTTCACAACAATGTCTACAAAGTGTTTTTTTTTAATAGAAAAGTTGCAGAGCGTTAATTCTTGTTCAATTTATCTAAAACTAGAGCCTGCAGAGAAAAGAGATTTCCTAGCAAAAGCCACAGACCAGAGAACGTACTGCCACTAAAACAGTAAAAGAGGAGAATCATAATATTCAAGAAGTGCAACATCTCACTTTCTATCGAAGGAATAAGTAAATACAGTGAATGAGAGGTAGTGATTGAGATCTTCTTAACTTGTAACTTTATGGATAATACAGAGGAAATGCGAAGATTTTTCTTTTCATCCTCTCTTGTAACACTGCTAATTTGAAATCACCAATTCAGAACAGATAAAATCCTCATTCAGTTTGCTGCTATGTGAAATGACAATGTATGACAGCAAGGTTAGTTGGCTTCAAAAAGAGGTTATATCCATTCTGTGTAAATTTATTCTTATTATCCATTAGAATCAAAAGCAATATACTTCTGAATACTTCAGGATTTTCATAATAGTAAAGTAATTGGGTAGTCTCTGATAGATATTAGATACTGCATCCTGTACCCTGTTTTCAGTCATTAGGTTTCTCAGTGAGAGAACACCACCACCAGCAAAAGCAATATTATTTTCTTTTTTGTTAGGCTTTTTAAATGGAAAATGTTTAATATTTCTGACACATATAGAAGAGTTTAGGTTATAAGTCCCAATGTTGTTATAATGGATGGAGGAAATCGTAGAGAATCCGGGTTAGTCAGCTATAGACTCTCAGCAACTGGCAACTGATAAAATGAGATGATTCAGATTCTTTAGTCTCACAACTACTATGAATAAAAATGGAATTTCAGCATATAGATGTTTATATGCATATACTTTCAGGTGCAGTATATTGTTTCAGTATAGCCACTATGCTACTAGAATGGACTGGAGTTTAATTTGGATAATTAAAAACTACCCTTGGATAATCAAAAGGCAGATATATTGGGTAGGTCCACACATGGTTTATTTTAATCATGGCTTGTTGACTATGCTGCAGTTGGTTGTGTTCATACATAATGCTAAGCCATAGATCACAAACAAAGCTGTCTAAATGCAGTGTGTGAACTCAGCTTGAGCTAGATAATATATATTTGTTACACCCTGGTAAAACTACTATAAAATGATTTAATTGGGACTGCCTTTGAAAAATATTTGGAAACTTCAGCTGTTCCAAAATACTGAAACCAGGGATGGTTGTGAGGAGCATGTTACAATAGCTTCATTGCCGATCAGTCTGCTTTATGGAATTCCAAATGTTAATTATGATCCATGAAGCTCTATGTAACCTGCAATCAGGCTGTTTGAAAGTCTGCATTTTGCCATTTACCGTCACAGCTTTGAAATCCTTGGAAGAGCAGTTTCATTGTGTCCACTATCAGAGGCATACAAGTTAAGGAGACAAGAAAGAGCTGTTTGACTAGTCCCAAACTCTCTAACTCCCTGTGAAGACAGATCAAACTAGCTTCACTTCAATTCTCTTGTACCTTTGACAGCTATTAACTTACAACTTTGGCTTTTAGGAAGGTTTTAAGAGGTAAAACCTCCTTTGAGTAAAATTCTATTCCTAATAAGTTCATGGAAACATTAATATAGTTTCTTGGCAACAATATAGAAGTGGTTTGCCATTGCCTTTTTGAGAATGTTTTTTCAACTTTTGGTCTAGCCAACAGCACTGAAATTAGATATAGATGACTGAAACAATTACAAAAAAAAATTTTTTTTGTCATGGCGGTTCATCTTGTTTTTATTCTAGGAAGGAGATGTGAAGGGAGTAATTAGATATTTTATACTTCTGTTGTAAAAAATATAAATTCTCAGTAAAACATACCATCAAAATATACCACAAGCAGGTGAATATAACTCCTCCTTACCAATTAGAACTAGTTAACATGTGAAGATTTTAAGAATTTGAGAGGTGATAATATATCCTGTTCTTAAGGAACTTTTTACAAAAAATTCTTTCTTTCTCTCACTCTCTCCTCTAAGCAGTTTATTCGACTGAAGAATCTATTTCAGCTGACAGTTACACAATCCTGGTAATCTTCTAGATCACAATAGTGTGAGATATTTATACGATATTCTTACTATATTATTATTGCACACATTCGGGTTCACAGTTTTAGTGGCTCAAATAATTTTTATAAAATTAAAACATATAAGAAGGCTTGGTAAGATTAATTCTATACCTGAAGTAACAAACTCTGAACTCACAAACCCCTTATTTGGATTGTCTGGATTAATTCACCAAACATCTGATATAATAGTGTACAAAAATTCTTCATATAATAAAGATGGGCAGCATACAAATTTAATTAATTAATTAGTTAATTAATTAAATTTGTATGCTGCCCATCTTTATTATATAAAGAATTTTTGTACACTATTATACCAGATGTTTATGTTTATATTTATGCAATGTTTATTGTCCCCTAATTGTCAGTTATATGTAAGTTCAGACCTTGAGTAGTAAAATGTATTTAAAATATAAAGTCCTTTCTGAGAATTACCAAGATTTACATTCCAGTACGGTTTGATCCATATGTTAAGGTCTGTAACTCTTCATTCTTGAAATAATATTTCAAGCTTAACTGATGGGCTTTGTTTCAGCATTCATTCTGTAGATATTCCCCAGACCATCTTGCTCATGCATGTTCAGTCAGTTTAATATTATTTTGGTCTTTGCTTAGTATGACTTCTTATGTAGCAAGCTTTACAAATCTCAGTAAATTTCTTAAGGATTCTAATAAAGCTAGAATTATTATTTTAAAATCTGTGACAGGCAAGCAAAAGCATTTCTGTTTAGGCAGGCTTTTCACCCTGCATCTTACTTGCTGCTGAAATATGGTAAGTACTTTCCAATTAATGTTGTTAGTGGAGTTTTTAATAAATGAATTCTAATGATTTAATTATAATTTTATCAATATTATACAGTATAATATTATACTATTATATACTATATAATAGTATAATATTATATTATACTATTATACAGTTAGTCATCTTGAATGAACCAGTATAGTAGAAAAGCATGACATATATTTCATTAATACTCTCTTGTATGTTCTTCTTGCAAGAAATGTTCAGATCAATCATAAAGATGAAATACAAACTACAGAGTTTACCTGTCGGGCAGTGACTTGCTGTAGAGCATTCTGGCACTTGGTAAAGCAGGGATCCTTCATAATTATCATAATAACAGGCATTTGTTTATCTATAAGAGCCAATGGCCCGTGCTTCAGTTCCCCAGCCAAGATACCTTCAGAATGCATATATGTAATCTCTTTGATTTTCTGCAAAGTAAATGGAAGAAAATCACACTCAAAGTACAAAATAAAAATGCATTGATTATGTTCATAACAATTAAGCACAGATAAATGACACTGAAGTCAGAACTCAAAAGTTGCTTTTTGCATGCCCAAAGTTTAATTACTTATCATTGATATGATACATAATTCTTTGTACTTGCCTAGGTGCATATACAATTCCCATCCTTAAATGCAAACTAACATCAAATGTGTGTTGAATCTAAGATGAAGAATTCCAATTAATAACCATCCATTAAAATATTAGTCATGTATCTTTTGAATACACTTTAAAATGTATTCTGTAGAGTTCCCTCTGCACATTTCATTTTAAGGGACAGAGGTTGCAGAGCATCAATAGTTTTGTATAATTTGGGGGTGTTGATGCATTGGTGAACAAATAATTTCTGATCTGAAGGGAATTTAGAAATATCCGTCTTTTTACTTTCTCCAAGTAGTATTTACAAATATGTTTTACCTATACCTGTAACATTTAACTGTACTTTTGAAAAAGTCAAGGTTAAGGATTCATACCAGTGCCCCTTCCAAGCAAGTGGCATAGTTGTATCCTCGACCCATAACCAAAAGTGACCGTTGTTTATATAGTTCAAATGCCAGCTCATGTATTTTCTCATCCAAAGACAGTACTTCTTTAATCATCTCTGCCAACAAATTAAAACTGAGAATTAATTTCATTCTTGCAATACTATCAAATCTCTATTTCAAAAATACTAAAACTGCGGATTTAGCCAGGCTACATAAATTGATTCCTTTGCTTTGTAAAGCATACTATTTGAGCCTCTGCTAGCTCCTAGCATCTTTTCATGAAATTTTACAGGGATGCAAGTTTCAACAGTTCTTTATGCCAACCCCCTGAACTGTTTTTAACCTTCTCTAAGGACTCAGTGTTTCCTTAGATAGTTTAGGTTTCAATTGGAGTGTTAAATAAGATTAGCTCTTACTTAATGTAATTACCAAGTAGTTTTTAAAATTATTTGTGTTTTTTGAAAGGTTTGAATTCTGTACAGAACTCTAATACTATAAAATTTGAATGCCTTAAAATAAAAATTATTCTTTAATTCTGATAATTTAAGGAAAGTAAACTAAACCATTTTGAATATTTTTCTCCAGCCTTCCCCAATCTGATGCCTTCTCAAAGTATATTAAACTTCAAACCCCATAATCCACAACCAGCATGATCAGCTATGATGATTGGGAATTACAGGAACTGAAATTCAACACATCTAGAAGATGCTAGGTTGCCTTAATAAATATATATATATATTGACATTTTGATTGAAAAAGCAAAGCCCTTGACTTAATTCACATAACTGTAAACTTGCCAATCTATTTGCAGTGCTTCACACATTTACTTTCAAAGCATGATTCTATTTTATAAGACTAAAGTCCAGTTTTATTCTCTTATCTTTTTCCCCAAATAAAAACTAAAGTGCAAGCAAACAACAAGAATCCTATAGTGGAATACCTTTCAAAATTACAAAAATGAAAATTGATTTACAACTTCATGACAGTATTTAAATTTATTCTTTTCACAACAAACTTTGATTCCCCATTCATTTGAACAGTACCAGGTAATGACTTCAGACTATTTATGATCTCCTGTCTTCTTTTTTGCAAGGATATCCTGTCTTCAGACATCATCAGACCAAACATCACAAGAGAGATGAACTGGCTGGTATAAGCCTGAAGATTGAAAAAAAGGCCATTAATTTGGTTGTTAGTGTGTGATCCTAAGACTGTCTTGTTTCACCTAAGATCTGCTTTGGTGAAACAAGAAGGGCTACAGCTCCATAGTACAGCACATGCCTGTATATTTCAGATCCTGGCTCAGTCACTGATATCCACAGGTAAAGCTGAGAAGGGCTGCTTTGAAATCCTGGAGAGTCTCTACAGGTTGGTATAGACAGTATGGCAGTTTCCTGCAACACAATGCTTTCTCAGCAAGGAAGATGCTTTACTGCTGCTTCCAGGCAATACCAGGGCTATGATTTGGTCCAAAAATGAAAAAGGTCAATTACAGAAAATGAAAGTTACCTTTGTGCTTGCAACGCCAATTTCAGGTCCTGCATTGATATGTACACCACAGTCTGTATCCCTGGATATTGAACTTCCCACTGTGTTTGTAATGCCAACTGTCAAAGCTCGACGATTCTTGCAATACCGCAAAGCCATCAATGTATCAGCAGTTTCTCCTTTAACATATTAAGACAATGACATTATACTTAGATTAGAATGGCAATAAAATTTAGAATTGTTTGACCTGCCCTATTCATTATGATAATGAATAACTTCCCTACTTTGTGAACTTGCTGAAGTTTTGTGTTTCTTCTTTTGGCTGCTTTAAATAGGGAGTGAGAATTATGCTCAAATTCTCTAAAAATTACTGCCATCCATCTGTTTAGCTTTGGTAGGAGGTTAAGGGTGATATTTCCACACCCCCTGCCATATCAGCCAATTTGTGTTACTGTGAAAAGTTCTTATGTTAATTTTAAAATTTACAAAAGCTTAAATGATTTCAAATGTACACTTCTTTAAAAAAATTATTGCTATTTGAGTACCTGTGTATCTATACTTTTGTCATCTGATGAGATGAACTCTAGTTTGCCAAAGCATATCATAAAAAATTGGGTTGTCTTTAAGATGTCCTTCAAGATTACTCCTTTTTTCTAATGCTTCCTGAGATCCTTGCTATTAAAGAGAAAGGAATAGGTCTGTCTTTGTTGTAGAAGTTTTACTTTGATCTTTGCCTTCATGAAGCCTTGATAAATTATTGAAATGTGCTACTAATCATTTGATGTGCACCAGTGTTTATTAGTGGTACTTATTAGTAATGTAAATATGCATATAAGCCAATTTTTTGCTTTGGCCTTTATATACTGGCTTCTTTATTTGTATGCTGCTTCTTTCCATACTGTTTTGAAATGTCCTTCAGAAATTCTCAAACTGAGAAATAATATCCATTAAATGAATAATAATGACATTACACTGATTACTAAACTAATCATTGCTTGCAAAAACGTGGAAAACACCTTCAAACAGAAAATTCAGTGTAAAATAATACAGAATACATTCAAAGAAACAGGCATTTGCTCCTGCCTGAAAGGCAGGAAGGCAGGCCAAATGAGTTCATGAGGTACAGAACTTCTCTTCTTCAGCTCTCCCCACCAGCATCAGTGATCCTTTAAACTTCCTAACCAATGGCAAACTCGGATCTTACAATATCATGAAACAGTTAAAACAGAAATAGAGCATTCCTCAAATCAGGAGCAAGACTTGTGTTTTAAAGTGCAAAATCAGACTCTTAAATTGGCCCCAGAAATAGGAGAAATATTTTTGTTTAAACACAGGCATAGGCAACCTCATCCCTGAAAACCTTACTTTTCAAAACTGCCAGATGCAATTTCTGAAACACTCAATGGAAAACCCATTACACCAATAATAAATATCCACATATGGATTATAATAACCAGATCTTCCTCTCCCAGTTGGAATACCAATGTAGAGACAATTAAAAGCTTACATTCAGGAATCTCAACATAAATTAAGGTAATAATATATAACAAAATGGCATGTTTCCCTGAATTCTCTGTATTCCCCAAATTAAAATATAAGGCAATTTACCTGACTGGCTGATAAAAAAGCACACATCATCTCGAAATACAGGGGTATTCCGATCCAGAAAATCACTAGCCAGTTCCACCATGACAGGTAGCTCAGTCAGTTCTTCCAATACTTGACGAGTCTGTATCAACATAAAGGCAACACAGCCAGCTTTAACTCTTCTGACATTAGGTGAGATCAGACATTAGCCGAGTAAAGCAAAATTAAACCATTTTGTAGGAATATTGCAAACTACTGCTTTAAATCACACTAAGAGGGTCACGGCAAAACAGACTGATTCTAGTTAGCAAAGGAGTGACATAAGATTGTATACACTCCCCTTATTTATTCAACCTATATGCTGAACAGATACAGGTAGTCCTCAGGTTATGATGGCAATTGGAACCAGGACTGCTGTTGCTAAGTGATACGGTCATAAAGCACGACATCACAATCCTGGCAGTCCTGGTGGTGGTTGTAACCTGAAGATGTGTGGGTTATTAAGTGGGAAGCAGTGGGAGTCCCAGGAAAGGAGCACAGGGGTGCCAAGGGGGTTGGGGGAGGCCGGGGGAGGCTCAGCACAGACCGCATGGTAGTTGGGGGAGGCCAGAGGAGGGGGGTTCTGCAGCACCACGTGAGCACAGGAAGGTGGTGGGGTGGATGATGCGGTGCCGCATGAATGCAGAAAGGCTGTGGGGTGGAGGGCGCACCGCTGTGTGAGCACAGGAAGGCTATGGGGTGGACAGTGTGGCGCTGCACAAGAGTGGAAGTGGGGCCTTACTGGAACGACTTGCAACCTTCCCTACCAGCTTCCCATTGATTTTGCTTCTGGGAAGCTGGCAGGGAAGGTCATGGCTCCCTGCGACATCATAATCACAAGTGGGGCACCCACAAGGGTGCTGTGATGGTCAGAACTTTGAGGATCGGTCATACATCCTCAAAGTTAATGGGGAAGCCAGCAGGGAAGATTGCAAGTCTCTGGGGTAAGTCTCCCCCACCTGTGCATCCTCTCCCAGCACCTCTGCACTCATGCCTTGCCAGCCACTCATATACCCCTTGCACCCTCCCTGAATCATGCCCTGATGCACCCCCTTGCACCCTTGCGCATCCTCCCTGATCCACGCACCTCTCACGTACCCCCATGCACCCTCCCTGACCTTCGTCACACCTCTCAGGCATCCCCTTGCTCCGTCCCCCACCTAGCAGCAGCCACTTACCTGCCTGCCAGCCTGGGACTTGCAACTTTCTGCCAGCTTCCCCACTGACTTTGGTTGTGGAAAACTGGCAGAAAGTTGCCTTGTCTAACGACTGTGGTATTCGGTTACTGATGGCAACTAGAACTGCAGGGATTGCTGTTGCTAAGTAGTGCGGTCGCACTTTATAGCTGCATCGCTTACCAATGGAAATTCCAGTCCCAATTGCTATTGTAAGTCAAGGACTACCTGTACTGAAGTGATGGATAGTTTCTGCCTTTTAAAATCAACTATTAACAGTAAAGGAACCATCAGTCAAAAATATGCCACAGACTAGCATTTGGTACAGTAGCCTTGAGGCCTTGGAAAAGATATTCAGATACTGTGATGTGTCTATACCTACAAAGATCAGAATCATGCAGGCCTGTGACAGTTTATGGATGCAATATTTGCACTTTGAAGAAGCAGGATAGAAAGACACTTTTGAACTTTGATGTTGGACAAGACTTCTGAGAATACCATGGACAGCCAAGAAAACAAACAAAAGGATAACCAAACAAATCAACCCAGAATTCTCACTCAAAGCACAAATGACCAGGCTCAAATTGTCATACCTGGGACACATTATGTAAAAACATGGCTCTCTGGAGAAGTTTATAATGCTGGGAAAGATGGAATGAAAGAGAAAGAGGACAACCAGTAGCAAGATGGATAGATTCAATTACAGTGGATGCACCATTGGAAGACCTGAAGGACCAAGTTGGGGACAAATCATCCAGGAGAAAATTTACTTGTATGGTTGCTAAGAATCAACATCAACCTGATGGCATATAATCAATCAAAGAGGTTCATAGTTCTATGATTAATACCACTCCAAAAGCTTGCTTTTTAAAACATAGAAAACTCTTATAGCCATACTATGAAGAACTTTCTCAGACATTTTTCATATTTTAAAGTATTTTAAACTTACAGCCACAGCAGCATGATAACTGGTTCCACATCCAATAATTATTAATCGTCTGCATCTTTTGATTTCTTTCAAATGATCCTTCAAGCCACCTAAAAGAACTAATTTCCACAAAACAAAAACAATAAGAAAACTTTAGTTCTGTGGAAATTCCTATCAGACATTAGTGGTAATGTTAAAGGAGATTAGAATTTTCCTCAAATTTACCTTTGTTGGTCTCAAAGTTCACTCTTCCTCTCATTGTATTGAAAACAGATTCTGGTTGTTCAAATATTTCCTTCTGCATGAAGGCACTGAAGTTCCCTGTTGTCGTCATTTGAATAAAAATGGCCTATTAATGTTACTGTTTAATCAAGGATGGTATTTACAACAAAATAACCTGGGACAGAATGGCAATTTCAGCCACAAGCCAAATTGCTTATGTTTGGTCATTTAAAGGAATGCCTATTCCCATATGGCCTGGCCATGACAAGATATCTTCTTGGGGCCTTTTTGACTATACTGTCACCAAATGAAGGTTGCACTTCCAGGGATTAGATTTTTACCACATTTAGTTTTCAGGGCCACTCAGAGAGTTTTTCATTAATAATGGGATCTCTAGATCAGGTCAGGATGATTGAAAGCCTCTTTAAAAACATACTACCATTATTGTTTACCTCATTTATGGAATTTCAAAATGATATTGTTATATATACATTTATTTGCAACCATAGGTTTTAGCAAAATTAAATGATATTGTTATATTTAGACATTGGATTGTATTTGTAAGAATAAAAAAAGTTTGATGAAATACAGCCTTGCAGGTAAAAAGATGTACTCCTTAAACATGTCTGCCAAATACCCTCATTATCTATATAGGCATTTATTACATGTTTTGTTGGCAAATTATGATCAATTATTTGAATTATTCTTTGTGTATTTTTAGTTTTATAGTAATGATGCATAGATTAATTGGTGATCTTGTAGATCTCCAATGCAAGACAAGGTAGAGTATAAATGGCTTCAATGTTTATTTGTTTATATTTGTATATTATTCAATCCCAACAGACTCCAGATGGTACACACAAATCTTAATAGCTACACACCCATATTAAAACAAAACAATAACTAGATGGTCTCCCAGAACAACTTACTATGGATGAAGGTCCATGAAAAAATAATGGTTTTCAAGGCCTTCCAAAATGAGAGAAGGGTAGGGGCAAAATGTATTTTCAGGAGCAATGAATTCTACAGTTGGGGCTATCTCCGAAAAGTCCAGCCTTTTTATGTCTCCCTCCTTCTCATGTGGATGAAACCCGCAGCAGACCTGTTCTAGAGGTTCAGACAGGCTGGGCAGAATTATGTTGTAGATGCTAGATGTTATATAGGACTTTATAGGTCATAACTAGCACTTTCATACTTCTTCCCAATCAATACCATCTTTCCTGTGGCTAAGTCTGCATCTGAATTCCCATGGAAAAAGATTCAGTTGATACTAGGTAAGTTGTTCAGCTGGGCTTACCTTTCATGATCTGCTGCAGCTCCATTTGCAAAGTTTGAATGGCTCGAGATGGGTCATCGGTAGCAGAACGTTTTAGCCGATGAATGGAAAGCTTTCCATCAGCCACTGCTGCAATGTCATCATCTTCTAGAAAAATAACTCTGTTGGTGTGCTCAATGATGGCACTGCAAAAAAGCCAAAACAAATACAGATAAGGTGTGAACTTCCAAGCACAACAAAGCTTTGTTCTGTGGGAGTATATAAGCACTATGAATAACCAGAAGCATGAATTATACATCATCCAGTTCCTGACTGCAGCACACATATGTCAGGTCGCAGAACATCCATGCACTCTAAAGAATCTGGAATCTGCACACAGCTACTAGGAACAGTTTATATTCTTTAATACCATCATTCCCTCATCTCAAACACGGACTGTACTACATATGACCATGCTGAACACATTTTTATGAATTACCATTTAGATTTAGAACCAAAGGCTATTTTTCCTTGGACTTGAGCCAGCAGCAGTTCATCAGTTTTTCCAGAATTATTTTGCATCACTGACTAACCAAGAATCAGTATCTAGGGCTATACAAAGCATTATGAAAGGGTGTTTGGCAAACTCAACTGGCTTGAGCAAAGCACCCCTCCTCTAGTTAATTAATAAATAGCCTCATCCCCTAGAAGGATGGGCACCACTGCTCTGTAGGCTTTCTCCAGTTCCTTGCATTTGCAAACATGGACAACACATCCTTTGGGACTGTCAGCAAAGCAGCTGGGGAAAATTGCTGAAGCAGCTGAGTTGAACCCCACAGAATCTCTGGCTATTTTACTGTTTCACTTGGGCTCACATGCTTTGTTAAGAGCTCCTTTTGAATGCTTTGCACAATGCTGTTAAAATTACAAATATTTATGTCTGTTACCTTGCATCTGAAGCAAAGAAAAATTCAACTGCTTTATCGCCTACAGCATGAAGGCAGGTTGAACTGTCCAGTCTTTTCATTTGTGTTTTGCTCATATTCTTTACATTTTCTATATTACCTATCAATGAAAAGCACAAGCATGTCACATCCTTATACTATCAGGGATGAGTATCCTAATTGAAACCACATCAGAGTTGAAATCAAATGATTGAACTTCATGTATTATGAAATAATTGCTACTACTTCATTAACAATTACTAAGAAAACAAAGCGAGACAGCCATACATACACACCATTTTAACTTCAATGAAATTTTGTCAGAATTTTTAAGTAAAGGTTTCTTTAAGATAGTTAATATTTTTAGTACCCTGGATTTGTACTTAGTGGACTTATACAAAGCAATTTTGGCTAATATAATCAGTTCCTTCTCCCCCCCCCCCCAAATACAGGGATGGTAATAGTACTATAATAACTTACATGTTCGATATAAAACAGGAATTTGTTCAGTGGAGAGCTTAGATTCGCTACGAACTCCAATGAGTAGAGGACTCCCCCTCCTGACAGATGATAAAACAACAATGAAAGTAGTTATATTCATTTTAAGAAATAAATTCAGAGATATTTTTGCTTCAAAGAAACATGTAAGTCTTATGTGCAACTTCTGTGCTGATATGCCAACTATCTATTTATCAAACATCACAGCCCAACTGATAGCTATATTTACTAACCTGGTAGCAACAGCTTCCCCTGGAAAATGGATACTTTTGAAAACCAGTGCAAAAGCCCCTTCCTGTGCAGGAGGAAAAAAAAGATTAAGAAAAGAATGGATGAGATGTATATAAACATTATCTAAAGAATGAGTAAGATAACATATCAATCAAAAGCTCCTTTTCATATCTTTAATGATCCCCAATAAAGGAGTAAATCAAAATGAAAAAGTAAGAGAATACATTTCATCCACTGTTGTGCATGCATATAGGGGGATGATCCCCAATGAACCCCATCAGATATATTTCTAATGATGAACAAATTAGCTTCCTGATTACCAGTGGGAAGACGTGCATTTTTAGTCCATGTCCAACTGTAGAATCCACATATTCAGGTCTATTACGTGGTTATTAACAGGCTGCAGCCTGACCCTGATCAATCTGATATCAGATTGACAGCTGTAAAGGAAAACAACTACAGATACTAGGAATGCATATGGATTTCATCTGGGTTGGCATCTCATTTTTCACCTATGCTCTGGACAAGCAAGATGATTTTATGAAAAAGAAAATATACTAAGGCGTTTTGAAAAGGATTGTCTCTCTTTAAAATGCACCCAACAACTTCACTTGGTTAAACTCTGTACGTGAAGCATAATTCAATATTATGTAAACATTACTGATGCTAGGAAACAAAGGGAATCTCCCACTCACCAGCTGCTGAATGACTCTCTCAACCAAGACAGAAAAACTCACATCTTCGGTTTCTTTGTTATCATACACATATTTGATCAACTTTGGAATAGTTTCAGTATCTGTTTCAGATTCAAATTCATAACCTTTCGTCTCCTAGAATGTTTTAAACAAAATGTTAAATCTGAGTTTCTTACCTCAGGCTGTTTTCCTTTGTATACTGTACAATAGCATCAAGTGACATATAATGCCTTGACCACTATTGCTATAATTCCCACTCCCTAGCATAATCATATTCTCAAGCTAGATTTTATTTGTTTAGATTTTATTTATTTTTAGGACTTTATTTAAACATGCTATTGAAAGAGCATGAAATTATAACATAACAATCTAGAGTCACTGGACTAATTCCTGCCAGAAACTACATTGTGTTATTCTTTAGCTCAGTGTTTCTCAACCTTAGCCATTTTAAGATGTTGGCTAGGGAATTCTGGGAGTTGAAGTCCACATAGCTTAAAATGGCAGAGGTTGAGAAAGACTGCTCTAGCTGATATCTGGGGAACGGGGAATCACATAGAGAAGGGAGGGGGAAAAGCTGTAGAAAAAGCCTTGCCTCCATGAGGGGGGATTGGATCTGGAACGCATTATCTGGAGTTAAATCTAATGGCAGGCAGGGACAGATCTTTCTAACGAACTAAACCTTTATCTCTACATATAAAAGTAAATCATGCCACACAGTTTGGAATGACACAATTTGACTATATGCATTAGTTTACTATCATCTTACCAGAAACTTCCGTAGGTCTTTGTAATTTGTAATGATTCCATTATGGATAACAACAAATTCTGAAAGGAATATATAAGGAAATAAATAAATAAGTAGGCAAGAGCAAACTATGAGAGCCCTTGATTCAAGAAGTGGGTTGAAGCTGCACATTTTTTAAAAATAGCACTAGTATAGTGCTTCATACAATTCTAGTTTTCTGTTCTTTCAGCCATGTGTCGTGGCCGGCTCGGCCTCTCATGAGGCCGACAATGAGCAGCCAGTTCCGGAGTTGCCCGATGAACCGCTGCCTGAGGAGCCACAGGCAGAGGAGGCTGCGTTGCCCAGTAACCAGGAGACACAGCGGCTGCTGGTTTCTGAAGAAGTCTGGGGAGTCTGAGCTGCCACCCGCTCCCAGGGCAAGGGCTCGCCGTGTAGAGAGGAGAGCAAAGTTGCTCTGCAAGGCTTCTCGCAAGAAAGGAACCTCGCCCGTCCAGTTGAGCAAACCTGGGGTTAAGAAGAGCAGCAAGCTCAAGCCTCTCTGTTGGAACAACCGTCCATTTACCCAGACTCTGCGTGCCTTGACTCCATGCGTGAAACCTCGTACCTTGGACCTAGACCGGCTGCCGACCCTTCTACAATGTTTGGACTTCGCCTGACCACTTTTGGGCCTGGTGCTTTGGATTTGGAACTCTCTCAAGGCAACCTTGCTGGGCTTTGGGGGACTAGATTTTGTGTGTGCGCGTGTGTGTGGGTTTGCACTCACATTTCCTTTGCCGCTTGTTTATTTGTTTCACAAACTTCTCAGTAAAGTTTGCAACCACCTCTCTGTGTGTTTGTGGGTGCATGGCCTGAGACAGGACACAATGGATATCAAGTACTATAACTAAAACCAGTAAAGTTTTGGTTGTAAAAATCAGAAGATACTGGTTGTTTGGAGAATATCTTGATCTGTTAATAAAGGGTACTCTAACACCAGCAGATTCAGGTCCTTTACTTTCACATGTCAGGAATATTACGGCTGCAAAATTGCTTTCTGCTGGGGTTTAGAAGAAAAATATGATGTAATCACCTACCTCATTTAACATATACAAATACTTGGTGGTGGCTCACTGGTTTCAAAAGTTACATCTAAGGATTTCTGGTGGTTTTTTTTTCAGAAGTTACCTACCATTACTTTTATCTGATCGTTGGGGGTGACTGTTGACAGCATTGGGTACTCCATGAGTAGCCCAGCGAGTGTGAGCGATGCCAAAATGTGTCTCAAAATCTGCCTTTAAATCCAAGCCTTCCTGCTCTGTACAGGAGGAATATATAATAATTTGTATTATAAAAGATAGACAATTCTAAATTTCAAACTGTTCAATGTTTTGTGGCTATAATGTTAATGTTCTTTTGCATTATAAGGGTGTGTTCTAATGACATCACAAATATTAGTGCAAACATATCCCATGCAGAAATCACATACACACACACACACACACACACACAAACACGCATGATTAATACTTTCTCAATATAAAATACATTACTTCCAATACTGAGCAAATTCAAAATCCAGATGAAAATGTCTAGACTCAGCATGGCAAATCAGCAATAACGATTTGATTTATTTATATTTTAATGAAAGGATTTGTTTTAAGGAGCTTTTATAGCTATAAAAGAGTTAATGTTTTGCTAATGAAATGCATCATAAATTGCATTGCTTGTTTCTTCCTATCACGTTAGGTGTGACTTCTGTTACCATTAGATCTCAAATGAATATAGGATTTACATCATCCTCAGCTTCATGTAATAATTGGTAGATGTAACTTCACAAAGTAAAACGTACTGTATATTCCCATCTGTCTTTCCTATGATATTCTTACTCCTATCAGAGGTTTAGACTTACGTTAACACTGAAAATATTAGGGAAAGGCTTGGCTTGTGGGACACACTATTGCATGTACATATAATTCTTATTGAATATTACTCAACAATCTCATGTTGCATCATAACTATTATATACATTTGAATACGATGTATTTATTTATTTATTTATTTATTTATATGTCAAATTTATATCACCACCCAACTCCCCCACAAGGAGGGACTCTGGGCGGTTCACAACAAAACAATTTAAAATCAGCAAAAACATAAACATAAATAACATAAATAATACAAATATAAAATACAGTTATTTATAAAGGAAAGGTAGTAAAATGTTCAGAAAGTGTTTGAGAATAAAATATGCAAATAGGACAGATCAAATCCTTGTTTAAGAAAGTGTCATTGTAACCCTGTCAATTAACAATTGAGTAATCAATAAATACAGCAAGGTTCTTAGTCCCACTGAAGTGCTACTTCTAAGTAAACATGCTTATGGTAAAGAGTGGCCATAAATGTACCAAAATGCAGATAATGTTTTGTTATACTTACTTTGCAATTCCTCATCAAGAGCCTTTACTTTTCCTCTTTTTTTCACTAATTTGATGTACCGTTCTTTATCTTTATTATTATTCCCATCAATTGCAACACCTGTAATACAGAATATATCTTATTATATAGTATTCCTGATTATTTAGCATACACATTTGTTTAAACAGAACATTAGAATTTTTTCAGCGGATGAAATATTTTGATTGATTTATTGATTTATATTTTAATGAAAAGATTTGTCTTGAAAGGTCTTTTATTAAATGATAACTATAAAAGTACTTAATGTTTTGCTAATGAAATGCTTCAAAACTTGCATAGCCTGTTTTTCCTCTATATATCTGATTAATGTTTTAAAAATTCTTCCTAGTGATTGATAATGTGCCATCAAGTTGTTTTTGATTCTTAGTGATTACATAAATAGATTTTCTCCATGATGATCTATCCCTAATCTGTTCTTTCAAATCTCCCAGTTCATTGCCACTGTAACTGGGTCTGTCCATCTCGCTGCTGGTTGTCCTCTTCTTTCCTTCCACCTTTCCCAGCATTAGAGCCTTTTCCAGAGAACTGGGTCTTTGCATAATGTATCCGAAGTAGGATAAATTGAACCCTTCTTTTCAGCATTTGTGCCTTGAGTGAGAACTTTGGGTTGATTTGTTCAATGATCCATCACTCTGTTTTGTTGGCTATCCCTAGTATTCTCTAACACCAAGTTCAAAGGTGTCAATACTCTTCCCATCCTGCTTCTTTAAAGTCCAACTTTCGCTTTCATAGAGGGTCACAGGGAATTCCAGTAGTAATGTATGGCTGTGAGAGCTGGACCATAAAGAAGGCTGAGCGCCGAAG